CTGCCGCCCCAGCAAGTCGCTGGGCTGAAATGGCTCTGAAAGCTGCAAAGCTGTGGCGGGGTTCTTCGCTGTGCAAGCTGGAGGTGCTGCTGACTGTTCATGGAATCACTAAGGTCGGAAAAGACCTCTAAGATCAAGTCCAACTGTCACCCCAACCCCACCATGCCTGCTAAACCATGTCCCGAAGTGCCACATCCACACGTTTTCTGAACCCCTGCAGGGATGGGGACTCCACCACTTCCCCGGGCAGCCTAGCCTGTCCTCTGTGCGGTTAGTTGCTGGGTGTATCTCTGTGTGCATGGGAAGAAGCGTGTAGTGCAGTTAACTGACTTTCAGCTTGGTATCCAAACCTGGAGATCAAACATTCCATTTATTCTTCGTTTATTCTTAATGCTGGAAGTCTCCTTGCTCTCCATCGGAGTGTGTTGTGCTTCCCTCCGTGGGCGAGGGCCCTACTTGTTTCACATCTCCAGCGAGGATTCTCTCCAGTGCAGTTTCCACCAGGACAGCTCCTTGGTCTGGCTGCTCTCCTCGGACCTGGCAAGCCAGGCCAATGTAGGTATCCAGCGTCCAATCATCAATGTCGGGATCGACGGTGCGGAAGGCAGTCCTCAGCTCATCTGTGCTCACCTCTCTGTTGAAAGACAACACGGTCACTGCTGTGCCATGGGAAAGGAACAGCTGTGTCCTTGTGCCACAGCGAGAACCTGGGCTGCCTGGAATGGAGAGCAGGGGTTTGTACGGACATCGTGATCTCTGCCTCCACCAGTGCCCCTTCGTTTTTTACATATACCTGTAACAAAGGCTGCTAAGTGCTGATTTTCAGACTGAAGTTAGGAATTGTTAGGCTTGTGATAACCTGGGAAGACCTGGGTTTCGCTCTGCTGTGCTCCATGATGCCCTTTGTGACAGAACTACATTTTCCCTTGCGAATTCAGAGCCTGCGCTGGGCAGTGCTGAGCTTTGTGGGCAGCCACGCACTTCCGGTGTCCTGCTTGGCGCCTGGCACCAGGCGCTGCTTCTGTGCGGTGACTGCCTCTTGCTCATCTTGTTTTGAGGTGGAATTACTTCTTTAAATCTGCGTTGTCAGGCCCGCGTGCTCGTCCCACTCCTCAGGACCAGCCTCTGGGGACGCAGAGGGTCTGTGCCCGCGGGAGGTTGCCTCTGCACCTGGTGTCCTGAGCTGCTGTGCCCACCAGCCCCTTCCCTCCCGTACTTACGTTGAATCTCCCAGCTTGTTCTTCAGCTGCTGCAGGTACTCCCGCTTCTCCCTGATGTCTTGGCTCCTCAGCTTTGCGACGAAAGGCTCGGTGTTCCCCTCCTCGTCCTGGAAGAAGCGGCAGGCACGTTAGCACTGAACAGGCTCCGGTAGGAGCGGCCCCCCAGCGTGTGGTAGAATAACCCAGCTCTCCTAGAATTGGTATTCCCACGTGAAAAGCGGAAATAGAGAGAGAGAGAGAATATGGAAGAAAAAGGCACAAGCTTGCGTTGCTGTTGTCTGCAGGTGGCTTTCAGGTGTGACAGCTTGTGGTGGGCGATGCGACTTTATTCATCTGATATACCCAGTTAGTCTGATAAGACTAATTTAAGCCTTAAATTAGGCTTAATGTGACTCAAAAGGAGAACTTAAGTAACATCAGCTTACTTCTTTGAATAAGGATATGTAGTCGATGAGGTCTTCGGTGCCGTCCAGCTTGTAGCTGCTAGTGTCGAGTAGTTCTTGGACTGACTCCTTCCTTTTCAGGGGGAAGGCTTCCCTCAGGGCCGTGCTGTACGGAGACAGGTGATACGGACAGGCATGTGTATTCTGTCACAGCACGAGCACGTGGGGCTGGCCGGTCCGGAGGCTACCGGCGGTGTGCACGCGTTTGGTGGGCCAGAGCTGCTCAAACTCATTGCTTGCCCGGGAAATGCGTTTCAAGCAGCATGTGTGCCTTCAGGCACCGAAACAAGGGCAAAGCTCTCAGCAGAGCTCAGGACTCGGGGATGTTGGATGCTGAGCTGTGTGGGAAACTCTGGATGCAGTCGTCTTGGCCAGCAGGTACCCCGGACCGAACCAGTTAGTGTGTCTATTCCAGCGCCGTGTTTCCAGCTAAGCACTGGAAACAGCTGCTGCTTGCTTCTCTTCCGTGCTACGGCCCGAAGAGACGCTGTGTTCAGAGCTTGGCTTCAGAAGGCACAGCTGACTGATGAACTGGGAGAAGACTGACAAACCCTGCACCTGGCGCAAAATCCACCAAAACGCTTTTGTGAGCTGCCCCAGGATCTCGTGGGGCTCTGCGCGGGGTCCCTCGTCCCCGTGGGGTGCAGGGGCTGCCAGCCTGTCCTGCTGCGCGCGTGGAGCACCCCATGCCCGCCTCCTCAGCTGCGCAGCTCAAACCCTGCAGTACGCACATTGTTCTAAACTTAACGCTGAGGTTAATGAGTACAGACTTGCTAGAGCTGTCCGCACGGGAGTTTGAAAGAGCGGAGAGCCCTCATCCCCCGGCTGCGCCGGCAGATGAGCAGCGCAGCCAGACTCGGCGTATCGCAGCATCTGAAGCATGCCAGACGCGGGCAGAGCTCAGTGGGCGACCGTCGGCATCTTGCCTGAACTGGGCGCTGGTCAGGGCCCTGCTGTCCGAGCCGTTGCGGGCAGCCAGCTCCTTCCTCAGGTTGGAAATCAGGCAATTCTGGCCGTGGTATTGTTCTTCAGCCACGTGCAGAACAGGGAAGCCCGCAGCTCAGCGACCGCCCCATCTGCTCCCTGGGCTACCTTCGGGAGGGAAGCACCACCCCAAAAGGACCGCACTTGCTTCTAAAGCAACTTCTACGTGAGCGGCTTTGGTTTACGAAGAATTAAGCGAGCAACGCTGTGGCTTGCAGGGTGGCTGCTCACAGTGGGTTCTGTCGAACAGCTTGCGGGAACTGCCAAACCCGCAGATGCGCAGCCCGGATCCCCAGGAACGGCAGGCCCCCCCCCCCCCG